TGGCTAAACCCCTAATTCAAAATTGTTATGTTGATATTAATATTTCAATACAATAAGAAAGCCAAATTTAGTTTACATCATATACAACGAATGTTCTCGCACATAATGCGGGTGAGAATCTAGTTAAACTTATTTGTGCTACACTAATGCCATAAATCTGAGTATTAGCACAAATAAACGTGCGCGACCAAACCATTGGATTCACTATACAAAACAGTAGCTCTTTGAGGCATTTCATCGACCAGATTCTGAGCAATACTGTTGTCCGCAAAGCTCATCGTGCCATGGCTCTTTGTTAGGGTATACAGAAGAAGTGAAGAAGAAATGATACAGAGAGTGATTTGTCTCAATCGGAAAGCTTTCACATTGGTTCAGAATCGTTTCCGTGAGACAGGTACCCTGAGAAATGCTTTATTACCAGCTCATACGAGTTCTTGTCTTGCTCGTATGAAATGGAAATGAAAGGGATCAAAGCAGACGTTTTTACCTACAACACTCTCATAGGAGGCTTTTGTAACGCCGGTAGATGGAATGATGGTGGACAGTTTCTAAGTGATATGATCTCAAGGAAAATCACCCCAGACGTCATCACTTTTAATTTATTGATTGATAGTTTTGTGAAAGAATTACAGTGAGATGGTTAGAAGAGGTATAACTCCTGATACCATTACATATAGTTCTTTGATAGATGGGTTTTGCAAGGAGAACCGCCTAGACGAGGCCAATCAGATGATCGATCTGATGGTTAGCATGGGATACGATCCTGATATGGTGACTTGTAGTACCCTTATAAACGGATATTGTAAGGCTAAGCGGGTTGACGATGGTATGAGACTTTTCCGTGAGATTTCTTTGAGAGGACTGGTTGCAGATACAGCACTCTCATCCAAGGGTTTTTTCAATCGGGAAAACTTAAGGTTGCCCAAGAACTTCCGGGAGATGGTTTCTCGCGGTGTGCCACCCAGCGTTGTAACTTATGGTATTTTGCTTGATGGTTTGTGTCACAATGGAGAAGTAAAAAAAGCATTGGAAATATTTGAGAAAATGCAGAAGAGTAAGATAGATCTTGATATTGGTATCTACAGTATCATCATTCATGGGATGTGCAATGTTAATAAGGTGGAAGAGGCATGGGATCTGTTTTGTAGCCTCCCTCTCAAAGGAGTGAAGCCCGATGTCAAAACATACAACGTGATGACATCGGATTTTTTCAAAAAGGCTCGCTTTCTGAAGCAAACATGTTGTTTAGAAAAATGACTGCGGATGGGTATGCGCCAGACAGTGGTACATACAACATACTCATCAGGGCACATCTCCGAGGTAGATACGTAACTAATTCAGTTGAACTAATCGAAGAAATGAAGAGGTGTGGGTTCTGTGCAGATGCTTCCACTATGAAGATGGTTATGGATATGTTATCGGATGATAGATTGGACAAAAGCTTTTTGGATATGCTTTATTAGAATTTTGGTATTTACATCATTACTAACTCAGAGCATTGAAAACCAAAGCTGAAGTGGTTTATTGAACAAGTCGAGATTTACATTTTATCTAGGCAACATGTTTTTCGAGCTAATCTACCACCAAAATTCAGAACCATTCTTCTGTTTGTGATATCTCCGGGCATGAAAGCAAGCTTCTGAGTGATGAAAGCCGCGTCTTTTCCTTGTCACTTTGTGCTTGTAAAGTTATGTCTTTGTTAACTCTTTTGTTTGCTTAGGAAATTTGGATTTTCGGTTACATGTGTGCATTGAAATGAATCTTCATGTGGTTCCATGATATTCTGTTTTATTTTCACGAATTCTCTTTTTGTTAAAGAGCCTTTTCTTGTTGATTATTGTAGATTATCTTTCGTACCTCATCTCTAACAAATCTGTTGATTATTTACTTGATGACTTCTTGAACATAAGCTAAGAATATAGGATACATAATTGACATATGTATATATGCTTATGTTGTGTGCAATATTATACTAATGAGTTTCAGGTTCCATACTTTTACTATTAAACCCGGGTTTTCCGAAATAAATCTGATTGGTTGGTTGTTAGACCAAAATCATTAACCTGAAAATTTACGTGAACCGGTTTTGAGTTTAAAATAAAAATTGAACCGCTCATCGAACCGAATTTTCTTCTTCCCAGACGAATCAAAATCTTATATAACCTTTTCTTCTGCTACCGATTCACAACACCAAAAACTAATCTCATATAACCCCATAACCTTTAATAAAAAAAAAAACCAAAAACTTAATCCCTATATAATTTGAATT